TCTTACTCGTGTTAAACACTCTTTTGCCAATCTGCTTTTGCTTTTTCTGGTCCTTTTCTCTGGAACTCTCTGCCTACTTCTCTAACTATTTCTCCATCGCTTGCGAAGTTCAGAGCGGATCTCAAGACCCATCTGTTTTCAAAATTCATTGAGGAGCGCTGTTGAACATCGCGGAAATAGCGCTTTATAAGCTAATTGATTGATTGATTGATTGATTGAAACACACACACACAATACATCCTATTTAAATTAACATAACGAAATGAAACGAAATGGTTTCGTTTCGTTCCGAATTGCGGTTTTGAAATCCAAACGATAACAATCACATAAGTATAGCAATCATTATAGTATGTAAAAAATAAACATCTTACATTTTAAAAAATGGAAAAATGAACTATTCCAAAATCAACAAATTCAACAAAACCACCATAACGCCAATTGATAAAACCAACTTGCTGGGGCCAGAAAATGTCCAACTCAACTAACGTTTCCCTAATTTAAATGACGGATTTCACAGAAATATGTTTCCTAAAATTATTATTTTCCATCGCTCGCTGCTTCTTCTATTTTAAAATATCAACGAACGTACGCGCATGCGATGTGCAAACATTTCATTCCATACGTACATACATTCGTACATACATACAAACATACATACATCCATACATACATACCATTCATACATCTCTCTATATATACTGTATATATATATACATTTATATGCCATATGCGACAATCCATAACAGGCATCATATATATATATATATATATATATATATATATATATATATATATATATATATATATATATATATATATATATATAATTTTATAAGTATAAAATGCCATATATTTGCAATGCTCTTTGCAGCTTCTATCATCCAACTAAGCTGCTGATGCTGAATATATACATATATATATATATACCATATATATATATATATCATATATATATCATATATATATATATATATATATATATATATATATATATAGAATTTCCGGAGTATGTTAAATCGTTATGTGATGATCATTATATGATAAATATGATATGGTAAGATATTGTCTCTCTTCCTCTCTCTCTCTCTCTCTCTCTTTCCCTCCCTCTCTTTCTCTCTCTCACTCACTCTTTCTATCTCTCTCTCTTTATATATATATATATATATATTTGTATATATTTTTTATGATTGGATTCTTGGTTGTTACTTGTTGCTTGCTTAAAAATTTGGTTGGTGACATTTAGACTGATATTTATGTATGTATGTGTTTATGTGTTTATGAATGTATGTATATGTATGTATGTGTGTGTGTGAGTGTGTGTGTGTGTGTGCGTGTGTGTTTATGTTTATGTTTACAATTGGTTGGCCGATTCGTCGTATGCTGCTTTCTTTCAATTGATTTCCATGTAGGCGTTCCGCTCTGATTTTATGTCTTATTATTATTATTATTATTATTAATCTTTTTATAATTGTTAGTATTATTGTTTTTATATATTTTCTTTTTATTATTTGGTATTTTTTTTTATTTTTCTACCTGGGCTGGTTCCTCTATGCAATAAGGTACAGTACAGAATCTTCGAACAAATTATAAATAAAATTAAGAAAGGGGTGAAAAATTGATTAAAATGAATAAAATTAAAAGTATGAATGAAAAAATTATGAAAATATTAGTACGAAATGAATAAAAAAATGAAAAAATTAGTAAAAATCTCTCAAATCAAAATTCCTAACTGACTTCTACGGTTTTCTTGCTAAGTTTATTCAAAATGTTCCAAATAATCTATATACACACACATACACAAACATACAAACACATATACCCACAGAAAAACCCACACACCTTCTATTCCTATAATTAGCGCCAAATAAATGATAACTGGTTAATTAATTTAATTTTAATACTCGGCCATCCCTAAAACGTGTTTTTGTTCATTGTGTAAAAACTGACAGCGCGTATAATCGTCTTTTCGGTAGCCAAAATTCTCGAAATTTCAAAATTTTTTTTCAGTTTTATTCAATAAAATTTGTTAAATGATCTTTTTTTCTCAAATAATTTCATTTTTTGCAGAAATAATCTCACCATAAATCTGTTTTAAAAATGTCTGCCGTCGTGAAAATCGAGACCGACGCCGATCTGCCCGTCGCACTGACCAACGCCGGCAACAAATTAGTGATCATTGATTTCTTCGCCACCTGGTGAGTGGGTGCTTAATCTTTTTCAATATATTTGGTTTTAATGTTTGGCTTGCCTAGCCGTTTCTTTTCCATTTATTTCAAATCAATCACTCCACTGATTCATTCATTCAATTGCGTTTTATTGTACTACATTACATTTACATGACTGCTATAATAATAATACTATATTAATTTTTCTATTTGACCATTTGAATCTAATGCTGGTTAACCATTTTGAAGTAACCCCCATTCAGCATCTGTCTAATTGCTAATTTAATGATTAATTAACTAACTAATAAGGTGTGGACCCTGCATAGGCATCAAACCAAAGTTCAAAGAACTCTCCCTAAAATACAACAATGCCACTTTCATTGAGATTGATGTCGATATGTGTCAGGTAAGTTAGTTTTTACTGACCTTAGCAAATAATATTTGTTGTCTTTTTAATTTTTTTTTCTCCACTGTAGAGAGAATACAGTGGAGAGAATACTTCAACCGTCTGTTAAACGAAACAAATCCCATCAATGTTAACTTTGACGCTCCACCCATCGAAGGTCCGATTCCAGACATCACTATAGAGCTCTAAAAGCTATGAAGGATGGAAAGGCAGCAGGGCCCTCTGGACTCACAAATGACATTATCAAAGCATCTGGTACTGCAGGTATCCAAACGTTACTACAACTTTGTTGAGAAATCTGGAGAAATTGCTCAATGCCGACTGAATGGAACTATAGCATGACAGTTCCTCTATACAAAGGCAAAGGTGATCCATTGAACTGTTCATCATATCAGGGTATATGTCTGTTAGAACACTCCCTGAAAATTGTCGAAAAAATCATTGAGAGAAGATTAACGTCGTGCATCACAATCGGAAATTATCAATTTGGTTTCCTAGCAGGGAAATCAACAATTGATGCAATTCACATCCTTCGGTAAATGCAAGAGAAGTACCTCGCAAAGCATCAACAACTATCACACAATTTTGTAGACCTTGAAAAAGCATTTGATCGAGTTCCCCGTGAAGCAATCAGGTGGAGTCTACGTCGACAACTCATTCAAGAATATCTTGTTTGACTTGTGATGGAAATGTATACAAATACTAAGACTTTCGTAAGCACAATGGTTGGAAACACAGATACATTTGTCATCGGCATTTGAGTTCACCAAGGCTCGATTCTCAGTCCACTGTTATTTATAACTGTGATGGAAGAAATCACAAAACCGATACGCACTGATGACATTTGGAATCTAATATATGCTGATGATATCGTTTTAACAGCCACATCTGAGCAGAATGCAGCACAGATGTTTGAAGATTGGAACACCAGACTCGCCGATCATGGATTCAAAGTCAACATCAGCAAAACCAAAGCAATGAACACTGGTGAACCCATCCAATCCACAGCTACTGGACGATGGCCCTGTTCAGTTTGTAAACCTGGTGTAGGTAACAATTCAATCAAGTGTCAGCAGTGTAACCAGTGGTGTCACAAACGTTGTTCAAAAATAATTGGTACTTTATCTAAAGTGTCCAATTTTGTTTGTCCTGCTTGCATCAATCAACAACAACAAATTCGAAATAGCAATGTTTTTGGAGCAATTAAGGTAGAGAAAGTCACATCGTTTCAATATCTAGGGGATGTTCTGGATTGTACTGGAACAGCTGAAGCTGCCGTTCGAGCATGCATACGTGCAGCCTGGAATAAATGGCATCTCCTTGCCTCTATATTGATGCGGCGTGACATCCCACTACAACTACGATCAAGACATTATAAATCTGTGATACGTCCGGTGTTGTTATATGGTGCAGAAACATGGCCAATGACAACCAAACTGGAACAACAACTTCAACGAACCGACATGAAAATGCTCCGATGGATGCAACAAATTAGTCTAAAGGACCACATCAAAACTACCGAAATCCTGCGTCGTGCTGGTTTAGATGATATAAAGGACGAATGCCGGCAACACCGTCTGCGGTGGTTTAGTCATGTCAAATGAAGTGGAAACAGTGCCATAACTTCTCTTGCAGATGTTGAAGTACCTGGCACACGTCCCAAAGGCCGTCCAAAAAAGTCCTGGTCGCAAACAATCGAGCAAGACATGAAAGCTCTAAATTTAAATGAAATGAATACAACTGATCATCTAATTTGGCGCAAAAAGTTGATGGCAAAGAAAACAACGTCCTACCTCGGGAAACCGGGTCTCTGGATGCAAAAGGAAGATTGATTGATTGATTTTTAATTTTTTTTTCCATTTTTTGTGGTTTAACCCAACTTTCATACCTATGTCACTTAGAATATATACACTAATTTTAGGATACAGCTGTCTCATATGGGGTGGCCGCCATGCCGACATTTGTATTCATCAGAAACTCAGTGAAGCTCGACCAGATGAAGGGGGCCGACCCAAGAACTTTAGAGGAGAAGATTATAAAATACTACAGTGAAGATGGCGATGGGGATGATACAGGGGTCAAGGGTCAGGTTGGGGGCTATTATATTTTTTGTGTTTTTTTCCACGTAGTTTATGCTTCACTACATTGATAAATTAGTAATTAAGTACTTAATTAGTTTGCTAAAAGAAGACAACTATTATTTTCCTCACTAGATGGACTTGATGGTGTTCTTGGACCCAAACGGTTGCGAGTGTCTGAACGAGTCGGATGATCACAAATTAGAGGGAGCCTTCAAGTTGGATGATAGGTATCTCGAGTCGGATTGTGATGAACAGGTTGGTTGGTTGGTTTCGTTGGCTAGCTAGTTGATTGATTGATTGATTTGGGATTTTTTTCACTTGTCTTCTGACATTGGTTTTTTATAATATTTTCGACCGTTCGCATTGCTATTTCACGATATTTTCGCCAATCACATAACAGCTGTTGATCTCAGTGGCGTTCAATCAAACAGTAAAAATTCATTCTCTCAAGATGTTTGGACCACCCGGTTGGTTTAATTATCATTATTATCCATTATTATTGTTATTTTATAATTTATTTTGTGTTTTTGGTAATTTTCTAGATAATGGTCCGAAATTAGTGAAAATCTTCATAAACCAGCCAAAGACTTTGAGTTTTGATGCTGCCGAGGGAATGGAGCCTGTGCAGATGCTGACGTGAGTTGCTTGGCCGATTGATTGTTTGATTGACAATGATTGTTTGTTTGATTGTTTGATTGATTGATTGATTGATTGATTGATTGATTGATTGATTGATTGATTGATTGATTGATTGACAATCTAGATTGACAGAAGATGACATCAAGGCAGGTTCAGTCATACCTCTGAAGTTTGTCAAGTTCCAAAATGTCTCCAACATAACTGTCAGTCTCACTTTCATTTATTAGTTTTTTTTTGTTTAATCTCATTTATTCATTGCTGAGAAGCTTGTTCCTGTATGGATAGAGCAAAAATTCGTTTTTCTGCCAACACAAATCGTTATTATATGACTAAATTCAACTTAGACACACATAAGAACAAACAAATACTAAACTGTGTTATACACACGCACCTGCACGCACACGTACATACTATTAACACCACACCACGCCACACTGCATTGTCATCAAGTTTTTTAGTTATCCATTCAAACTAATGAAAACAACAAGCCATAGCAAGAATTTCTCATCAGCTTCACTCATATCACCACATATACACAGGTACACATTGCATACACTCTCATGTTCACACCACACACTCACACATACCCACACACACACACCTGTTTCTCCAGTTATTTGTGCAGACCAATCAGAAAGACAAAGACACAACGAGAATTGATTACCTAAGTTTCATTGGTAGCCTGCATGCAGGGGCCAATATGGCAGACTTCAAGAGGGTCTCTATTTTGTCTTTGTTGTCATTGATTCGTTGTCTTTGTTGGTTTCGTTGTCTTTGTTGGTTTCGTTGTCTTTGTTGTTTGTTTATTTTGTAAGTGGTTCATATCTCTAATCTTATGTAATATAATATCGCAATTTTCTTTCATTTTACTTTTTTATATTTTTTTTTCACCAGGTGTCAGGAAAGAAAGGGGAGAGTCATTAGTTCTCTTCCTTGCCTCTCTCTTTTACCATCAGTATCTCTCTCTTTTTTATTTACTTCTCTCTCTCGCCCTCTCTCTCTCTCTCTCCCTTTCTCTCTCTCCTCTCTCTCTTATTCTCATTTTACTTAGTCCAAGGTCTAAAATTTTAAAGTCGGTATTGATGTATCATAGAGAATATACTCTTCCTTTATTATCTCTCTCTCTTTTTCTTTCTAACTTTCTCTCTCTCTTTTCCTTTTCTCCCTTTCGCGTTTTTTTTAATTTATTTATTTATATATTAATTTATTATTCTTTATTTAATACTTCTACTCCCTCTCCTCTCTCTCTCTCTCCCTCTCTCTCTCTCTCTCTCTCTCTCTTTCTTTCTCCCTCTCTCTCCTGTGTGTGTTAATTACATTTGTAATGATATAGTGGTTATTACTTATTGACATTTGGGTTCTGAAATAATGATTTTTATTACGATGATGATGATTAATATTTTTATTATTATTGTTATTGTGTTGCACGTGACTCATTGTTATTATTGTTGTTGTTGTTATCATTATGCATCTCATTATCTTAATTTACACTTCTCTAAGCGGTTCTGCTTCCTTTCAGTTAAACAGTTTCAAAAAATGAATAATGGTGATATTATTATTTCTATTATTATTTAAACATAATAAAAGATTAAAAGACAATTTTAAAGTAATTTACCATAAAGGTACAAACGTATCGTATCGTCGTATCGTATCCGACATATCGTATCGTATCGTATTATATCATCGTGTCGTATCCGGGTAGGCCAGTGGGAACCTGTGCAGGAAAGACGGAAATCCTTCTTTTTTCCAAAATGTGTGAGTTTGCCGGAATCACCGTTGTCTGGAGGTCTGTTTGTTTATGTGTCGTGCGTGCTTCCGTCGTGTTTGTCTGTGTGCGTGTGTGTGTTTGTCTGTGTGTGCGTGTGTGTGTGCAATACCTAAGTGAATCAAAAATATACCTAATGAATAGGTTATTTATAATTGTTAATATACGAATAAAAAAGGCGAAAGCATGCCAATATGTGCGTAAGACATGTTTGCTCTTGTGTGTGTTTATGTGTTGTGTGTGTGTGTTTTAATTCCTGGTTTATATTACTTACCAGATGTGTTTTTTTTTGCCCGAAACAATATTACTTTACTAAGCCTTAATATTGCTCTATCCAACCTGAGTGGGTAGGTGGATAAATTAATGCATGGATGAATGAATGGATAGATGCGTGATCGTTTGGATGAATGAATGAATGATTGAGTGTATAGATTGAGAAAAGAATGTATCGGTGAATAAAAGAAAAATTTTAATCAGTCTGTTTCTGACTAAAGCTCAGACAAAATTTGAACAAAAAAAATACTTTTTGCGCTATAATATAAATCAAATTTTTTAATTAATAAAAAAAATGATCTTTGCTATTTTTTTCTTTTCTTTTTCGAGTTTTTTTGTCATCAGGTGTGAGCTTTAGACAGAGACAAAAGATTCTTGCCGGAAGTAAATAAAGAAGTTGGTGATGATGATGACGATGAGAATGTGAAAGATTGAAATGAGGATAATGATGATGATTGCGATGGTGGTGACAATAAATGAACGAATGAATAAATGCATGAATGAGTGAATAAACGAATGAAGTAAAAACTACTAATACTAATACTGCTACTACTACTATTACTAAAACTACTACTGCTATTACTACCACTACTACTAATACTTTTAATTATAATAACAATAACGGCAACAATCAAAATTACTTTGATGATAATCGTAAAACAAAATAGCAGCCGATGAAAAAAAAAACAAAAACAAAATGGCCGACAAAAAAAAATGGCCGACCAAAAAACTGGCGGAACGTGCTTTTGGCGCCAATCCATATTAAGTCTTTGATGCAACTATAAATAAAAAGTTCCCGCCATTTTTAGCTGACAGGTCGAATTATGTTTAATACCACAACTACTTATCAATCGCGTTAATGATATTGCTATGGAAGTTGCTGCAACTTTAGCTCTACTACTACCACTACCACAACTGTTGATATTACTATTACTACTACTGCTGCTACTACTATTACTGCTACTACTACTGCTGCTGCTGTTACTACTACTACTAAAATAGTCTAAAAAAGAATGTGTAAATAATGAATATAGTATAAAAGAAATTTAGTAGTAGTAGTAGTAGTAGTAGTGGTGGTAGTAGTAGTAGTAGTAGTGGCGGCCGCAGCAGCAATGGCAGTAGTAGTAGTAGTCGTAAAACGAAGAAGAGAGGATGAGGAAGAAGATGACAACAATATCATCACCATCATTACCGACATCATCATCATCTTTTTTATTTGAAACTTTTTCGCATTTTAAAATAAGGTCTCAACTATTTGATTGCGTGCTACATCTGAAAAAAATACGTCGGTAGCGTCATTTATATAAATAGGGATGTGACGACGATTCGAATATCAATAGGTGTGGCCTGATGTTTCTAAATAAGGATAGATAGTTCATTAGCCAAAACCGACCGAATAACCGACGGACCGACAGGCAATTATACCGAAAATTACTCTCTAAAATTGGAAGATTTTAAAAGTTAAATTATAGCAGAAATGAAATGTGATGTGCGTGCGTGTGTGTGTGCGTGTGCGTGAGTTATGTGAATTGCGGAGATGATGTGAACTGACATGACTGAGATGGAAAGAGGGAAAAAAAGAAAGAGAAATAGAGAAAGAAAAGGAAGGAGAGAGAGAAAGAGAAGAAGGGATGACAAATATAACAAATTTCTGTATGTATGTTTGTTTGTATGTTTGTTTGTATTTTTGTTTGTATTTTTGTTTGTATGTTTGTTTGTTTGTGGATTAGTTTATGTATGTATGTATGTAAATGAGTGTATATTTAGATGGCATAAACTTTTATATCAAATTTACAGCAGTCATTCTCCATTTAAGCATTTTTTATTATGGATATTATATTTAAACGAATATGTATGTGTGTATGTTTATGTATGTATATATATATATATATGCATGTATGTATGTATGTATGTATGTATGTATGTATGCATGTATGTATGTATGTATGTATGTATGTATGTATGTATGCATGTATGTATGTATGTATGTATGTATGTATGTATGTATGTATGTATGTATGTATGTATGTATGTATGTATGTATGTATGTATGTATGTATGCATGTATGTATGTATGTATGTATGTATGTATGTATGTATTTATACAAATCACCTGTTCTAGTAAGAAGCAATTAGTTTTATACAATAGTCACATACATGCCTTCATCATCATCAACGTCATCATAATCATCATCATCATCAGCGCAATCATCACCATCACCGAGATGGCCAATGAACGACTAAGTCATAACCAGCATCGTCATCATCATTTTTATGGTCAACCATACAGTTAGCCATAAATGTATGCATGCATGTGTGCGTGTGTGTGTGTGTGTGTCTGTGTGTGTGTGTACGCTCTCTTGTATGTGTGAAAGCCAACTAAATGCCTTTATTTGCCGACTTTATTGATGTTTGCTGTGTGCTTTGTATGTATGTTTGTTTGTTTGTACGTATGTATGTTTGTATGGGTGTATATGTGAGTGTATATTTGTGTGTGTATGCATGTGTGTGTATATGTTTGAATTTATGTGTGTATGTATGTATAAATTGCAACATCGTCATCTCATTGCACTCTTTCCTTAGCTACTAACTAATTTTTTTTTGTCTGTGTAACTAGATCAATAATATTATCGCCAGAATATCGTGAGTTATAATACACTTAAGCAAACAAGTGCACGCAGACCGCCTAGAGAGAGAATGGCAAAATATCGTAAAAACGAAAGAGAGAGAAAGAATATACATATAACGTATAACATGCTAGTTTAATACAGAAAATATCATATATACATGGAGGGAGTTAGCTCAGTCGGTAGAGGTGCTGGCATTTCTATCGTTGCTAGTACGCGATGGCCTGGTTCGAATACCGTCTGACTGAAACTCTAAGACCATCATGTGATGTTGTACTTGCGCGTGCGTAATGTAATGCGTGTGTGGTGGTGTGTGTGTGTGGTGTGGTGTGTGTGGTGTGGTGTGGATTGTACAGCTTCTGCAGCACGAATGTTAAAATAATATCTAAACAGTTCTGCATTTGGCAGAGTTGCATTATAAAGAATGGAAATAATACATTTCAAACAAACTCCGTGCTACTAGATAGAGAAAATAAATGCCATGCCTTATTAAAGAAGGCACTAATACTTGTGTGTCTCATGTATCATGTTGGGGAACGAAAATTTAAAATGACAAAGACTTACATTTACATGATCGTATACACATATACGCAAACTGAAACATACACAGACACCTATTTACACATTCTCTCTCTCTCTCTCTCTCTCTCTCTCTTTGTCTCTTTCTCTCTCTCTCTTTTTTTCTTTCTTTCTCTTTCTCTCTCTTTCTTTCTCTCTTACAAACACACACGCATACACACACACAGACACTATCACATTCACACACGCACACAAAGACGCACACAGACATTTTTAGACACCCATTTGTCTACCTGTTAGCCAGGCTTCAGGTTCTTACGTTGAACGCACGCACGCACGCACGCATGCGCAAGAGAAAAAAAAGAAATTTCTGCAATCTCAAGTCTTTAAGGTTCCCTGGAAAAACATTAATACTCCATCTAGGGAGGGAAAAAATTCAACCGGAAACAGAACATTATCGCGTGACTATGTCGTCAACCGGAAGTGAGGACATTATCGCGTGATTATGTTGTTGCACGTGACTAACAATGGCTAAAATTTTGTTTATGGTCTCTGTTTAATTATAAACCAATGATTCAGATAGGTGAAGATTATCTTTTAAATATATCTTCAAGTTAAGGTTGGTGTTCATGTTGAACTGTTTTTTAGAGATATTTTGTAAAATTTTTCTGTTTTGGCTTTTGTATGTGTATTGTTTGTTTGTTTTTGTATGTGTATTGTTTGTTTGTTTTTGTATGTTTATTGTTTGTTTGTTTTTGTATGTGTATTGTTTGTTTGTTTTTGTATGTTTATTGTTTGTTTGTTTGTTTGTATATTTTCTGCCTTGTTTTTTAAAAAACAAAAAAAAATTTTTTTCCTTTGAAAGCCAGGGACGTAATTAAATTTGTTTGAGTGAAACATCATAAGCGTAAACAAAACGAAATTTTAATTGAAGGAAAAATAAAAACATTTGATGACGGTATGTGCGTATGAATGTGTTTGTTTGTGTGTGAGTGTATGTGCGTGTGTGTGTGTGTGCGTGTGTGTGTGTGTGTGTGCGTGTGTGTGCATTATAACAGGATGGAGATGATGAAATATTAAGATGAAATAGACAAATGAGATGGGAAGAAAGAGAATGAGAAAGAAAGAGATTGAGAGAGAGAGAGAGAGAGAGAGTGAGAGAGTGAGAGAAAAAGAAGAAGGAGAGAGAAAGAGAGAAGAAGGAAAGATAAAACATTGGAAGATAAAAGAAAAAATTAAGTGAATGTTAAAAACTGGCAGGGAAAATTATCAGAAGAGCAAATATTTTTTTAAAGAAAAAACGAACGGAAAAGTTTAGACAATAAAATGGAAAAGTTTTGAAAAAAAGGCATAAATATAAAGAGAGAGAGAGAGAATAAAGAGAGGGAGATAGAGAGGAAGGGATGGAGAGAGAGAGAATCAGACAGAAAACAACACATAAACACAAGAAGAGTAAGAGAGAGAGAAAGAGAGAGAGAGAGAGAGAGAAAAAAAAAAGGGAGTGGTGGATGAAAAAGAGAGATATAATTTTACGGCGAGGGTCGCCTACATAAACTGATAGCAGGACGACTTTATCGCAGTTTCGCGCCGTTCAGAGCAGCGGTCACGTGTCACGATGACGTCACATCCGTCCTGGTTTATTCAAATTAAGTTTGTGTCCTTCTGTAGGAGTAAAAATCCATTATGTGAATTACTTTTAATTGATTGATTGGTTAATTGATTGATTAATTGATCGGTTAATTGATTGGTTAATTGATTGATTAAATGATTGGTTAATTGATTGGTTAATTGATTGATTGAGTGATTGATTAATTAACTAAATATTTATTTGTGTGCTTATTTGTTTTTTTTAATTATTTGTTTGTTTATTTACGTAAAAGCATCAAAACTTAGCATCAATTTATATAAGATTTTGATAGGAATTAGTGGTAGTAGTCTAGTAGTAGTAATAATAACAATAATTATTATTATTATAACAGATAATAGTTATCATAAATGATATCATATCATGTATCATAATTGACGATGATATCATGTCAGTGTGTTCTGAAGATTTAGCTGAAACTGCACGGGATATAGATAATAATTGTGCATGATATTGCTGTGAAGCTAAGAGAATCCAAGCCATCGTCTTCAAGAATTATATTATCATCATCAACAACAACATCAACATCATCATCGTTGTCGTCATCATCAACAAAGTCAATTTTATTGACAAAATCATCAGCATTGTTGTCATCATCATCATCGTTACCACCATCATCATCATCATTACCATCATCTTCGTCGTCGTCATCTTCATCGTCGTATCCATCATTGCTACCGGATTGTCGGCTTGTTCTAACTAACATTATGGACGGCAACAACAACAACATCAACAACAAAAGCTACCACCTCAGCAATTACAATCTCTCCCCATTCTTCCTCGTCATCACCATTTTCACCACCATCTCGGAATTCCCCACTTTTATTACGTCATTATCAGCGTATGACGTCATTCCACCACCGCCCCATCTCAACGGCGAATCACGTGATCTCTCACCAGCCGACAAGTGGTGTCCGCCACAGTGCGACTGCTTCACCTTTTTCGAGACAGTCGACTGCAGTAGGCGTGGCCTAGCCTACCTCCCCAGTCAATCACGAGCCACCCGGAAGCTATATTTAGAAAGTAACCAACTGGTGGAAATTCCAGAAAACGCTTTCGCTACCGTCGATAAACTTTCGGTTTTGATTTTGGAGAATAATAAACTGGAATTCGTGTCAAGCACCAGTTTCTGTAACTTGAAAAGTTTGCAAGAGTTGGACATTAGCTCCAATAAGCTGAAACTGTTTAAGATAACAAGAGCCGATAATGACGATGATAATGGTAATAATAATGACGACAATGATGATAACAACAACAACAACAACAACAACAACAATAATAATAATAATAATAATAATCATAATAATAATAACCATAATAATAATAATAATAATAATTTTTCTCCTTCCATTTTAACCGCTACTTTTACTCCAGCGATTTTATCGGCCGTCTCAATCACGAATGCTTTTAGTGGTTCAACAAAGTCGCCAGGTTGGCCGTTGTCGCTGTGGCTTTTGTGGCTGTTGTGGCTATAATTATTGTGGTTGTAGCAATTGTCGTAGTAGCAAAACTGTCGTAGTTGTAATTGGGGTTGTAATTATAGTGGCTGTCGTAATTGTAGTAGTAATAAATGTTGCTATTGATGCTGTCGTTGTAGCAGTAGTTGTAGTAGCGGTAGTTGTAGTAGCAGTAGTTGTAGTAGTGGTAGTTGTTGAAGTAGCAATAGTATTTAAAATAATAGTAGCAATTGTTGAGTTAATGAGTGAAATAATTTTTATATCTACAAGACATTGGACTGCATTTGAAACCTTATTTTTGAATTTTTTTTTTTTTTTTCTAACAAACGAATAAACCAAATTTAGCTCATAATTCTGTCTAATGAAAGTGAAACTACTTTTCCATTTCCACTTATAAAGTAATTTTGACATAACATTTGAGTTTCACAGGTAAAATTAATTTATTCAAAATTAATTTATTCAACTGACACGCATTTAAATATTCAACAGATGGTGATCTCAATGGGATGAAAAAACCAACAACTGCATCAAACAACAATTCTTTCAACAACATTAACAACAGTGACGTCATCATCAACAACAACAACACAGGCAGCAGCAGCAGCAACGATGGTAGCTACTTCGGTCTCAATGATTCCATAACGAGCAAATATCAACTGACATATTGGGAGACGAACAGTCCGTTGCGGTCACAAGACACTAACAAACTACTTACTACTACAACAACAACAACAAAAACAACAACAAATAATAATAATAACAACAAACAACCTTCATGCGAAGCGCCGTCTCTGAAGGAGATTAACTTGAGCCACAACCAGCTAAAACTCATTCCTCACAGTCTCTCCGTCTTTGTCCCAAATTTGGAAATTTTAAACTTGGCCTACAACCAGATCACGTCAGCCCTATTTGACCCGTCATATTCACGCATGACCAAGCTAAGATATTTGGATCTAAGTCGCAACGACATCCGCTACCTACGCGACAGCGATTTTGAAGCTTTCGTAAAATCGGCTAAACAATCGTTAGAAACTATAAACTTAAGCGATTGTGGAATCATGCATATTGATAAGTTGACCTTTTCTGGGTTAAGTTCATTAACGTCATTGACCTTAGCTCGAAGTCTGGTGAACAAGTCGTCGTTGGAAGATGTTTTTTCTTCATTTCCTGCTAACAACCACTTGGCCCGGTTGGATCTTAGTGAGACCTTCCTCAGTAACTTAACCGTCAAAATGGTCTCAAAATTTGATCGACTGATCAGTTTGTTGGTTTCTTACTGCGATTTGGAGCAAGTTCAGAGTGGTGTGTTTGCAGAACTGCCAGAATTGGAAACTTTACATTTAGAAGGCGGTCAACTGACTTTTTTAAATGATATTCCAGCTTTGAAGAAACTGCGAAGGTTGAGTCTGCATTTGAACCAGCTGAACGATGTTGACTTGGCGGGGTTAACTTCATTGGAATACGTTGATTTGAGTTACAATAAATTTTCTCTGCTCAGGCCGGGCTGGTTGGGTGGATCGGAAGACATGCAACAGCTGAACATCAGCCACAACCAACTCACCTACCTCAACGCCGAAGCTTTCGTCGGTGTGTCCTCCATCTCAATTCTCGATTTCTCGCACAACGCTCTCTCCGTACTATCTCCTCTCGGCCATTTGAAGGTTTACACGCTGGACGTTTCCCACAACAGCCTGGCAGCTGTTGACGACTCCTTCTTTGACGTCCTGCATCGAACTCTCACAACTCTGGATCTCAGTTTCAACGAATTCACTCAATTCAGATCCGTATTCAAGGCGTTCCATCAGCTTCAAAAACTAAATCTAGCCGGGAATAAACTGGGCGGAGCGTTCAAAAGCGGAAAGCTTGGCAACTTAATGCAGAGTTTAGAGTCGCTGCAAATCTTAGATCTCTCCGCAAACGACATCAGCGTCATCAGAGCTGAACATCTGGCACCACTAATACGCTTAACGACGTTAATTTTGAGGGGAAACCAGATCAGGGATATCACGGATGTAGCCGTGGAGAGGATCAGGGGAGTGAGGAAGCTGATCGTATCCGGGAATCAGATGCACACCGTCGAAGTTAAGGTACGCAGTTCAATTTTTGTGCTGTACTGCTATTTGTGTGGCTGGGGTGTGATTTCTGAAACACAAGTGAAAATGATGACGATGACGACGACGATGAAGATAGCGGTTGCGGCTGTAAAGTAGATGCGTGTCTGATATAAAGAGTGGGGATTATTAGTGGTAATAATATTCTCGTCAACCTAAAAAATGGCACGAGCAAAAATTTGCAAACCTAAAAAATGAAATCACAACAATTTTTAAAGATAAAATGATGAACAATTCATTCAAAAATAAAAAAAAGAACAAATAATTTGTTGAAATCATCTGAAGGAGACATTCACCAACACTATACAACTAACATAATAAGATTATGTAAAATTCTTAAAACGAACTTCAAGATTTCAAACAAACCACTCCATTTCTACTTTATGGTAGAAATTTGTAGTACTGGTTGTATTAGTAGTAGTAGCAGCAGCAGTAGTAGCAGTAGTAGCTGTAGCAACAGCAGTAGTAGTAGCAGCAGCAGTAGCAGTAGTAGCTGTAGCAGTAGCAGTAGTAGCAGCAGCAGTAGTAGTAGTAGTAGTTGCAACAGGGGTCGTAATAGTACTGCCGTTTCATTTTCCAATTACACGGACAGACAGACTCGGCCCTTGTAACTTTCGCTATCATCTGACGTCATCGCGACTGACGCCGTAATGATATGACGTCATAAAACGCCATTTACGTCATAGTAGGGATGGTGATTAAGAGAGAGATGGTGAGAGATGGTGGGGATGATGGCGACGACTACGACGATGATCTGAATTTTGAAAGATACGGAATCTTTTGCATGAATAAAGAACGAAAGAATGAATGAATGAGTGAATGAATGAATAAATTAATTAATTAATTAATTAGTGAGTTAATGAATGAATAAATGACTGAATGATTGAATAAATGAATGAATGTATGTATGTATGAGTGAGAGAATGACAGATTATAAGAAGGAAATAATGAGAAAAAATACGTCGAAACTGATGAAGCTGAACGAAAAGACATCATCAAAAAAGT